GCTCTTTTTAGTATCCCTTTTTATCAGGGATTCTCTTCTCCCAGCTGAGTGCAACTGGAAAATGAGGTAGAGAGTAGCAGTGAGAGCAACTAAAACCGCCCCCCCGTGCTGTGGACGCCTGGGACGTGCATTCGGGGCTCTCTTCTGGTCTTTCACTGTTTATCGACAGGTGCTGCCAGATACTTCAGCCAGGATGGGCCAGCTGATGTGTCCCCGGCTGGCTCAAGGACCAGCTGAGCAGTAAGAGGAGGACGGATGGCTGGTATTACAGGAGACACCTTCCCAAACTGTTCCTCAAAGGGGAAGGGTCCTTCTCCTTGTGTCGGAGCAGCAGGCCAAAGAGGGCATGCAGAGTGCCTGGCTCTGCTCTGGGCTACACCTGACATCCCACGTGGGGTGGCTTTGGGCTCTTCATTTCCTCTCATGGCTGAAGCAACGTGCAGCTCTGGCACTGCACTTCCTACACCTACGGTGAATTTGGCCTCCTGTCACTCCTCCCTTCCCCTCGCCCAACCCGTTACGAGCCACCGAATGCGGTGGAACGACAGATGCCAGATAGGACGCAAAGCGGAGGAGACAACCAGCTTGACAGGCCTGCTCTTTAATGTGTGGCTCTCTTGAGAAGAAAGAAGGTGGGAAGAACGGAAGGAAGGTTGGCATAGAATGGGTTTAGCTTTACGCTGCCTTCAGGGATCTCACTGAGGGGCGAGGGGTTTATTCCGCAGTGCTGGTAAGTGGCTGCTTGAACTTAAAAGGGAGCTGCTTGTTGATACAATGGATTTCACAAGCCTCTGCTTTTCTCCACCTGCCTTCCCACACCTCTCCTTTGCAACAGATCCCAACCACCAGCACGCACCCATTGGGTGTGCAGGCAGCCAAACCTGGGCTCCTCACCCCAAAAATGCGGGAGAGTGTTTCCAGCGCCAATCCCAGCTCTGGGGAATTGCCACATACAGTTTTAAGCTCTGCCTCTGCTCTAAAAATAGCCCCTCCTGAGGCGGCACAGAATTCCCCCCACCATCTCGTTCTGCAGAAGCCTCCCCCAAAGCAGCTGGCGGAGGAGTGCCGAGACACGGTGCACAGTTCCCACTCCTTCGTCCCTACAGAGCTGCCATCACAGACACAGCTGGAAGCTTTGCAACCCCGTGTTTTCTCTTCCACAGGTTCTGACCAGTGTCTTGCCTAGCCCTGACCTTGTTGTGTCAGCTCCCTGATGCCAAAGTCACCAACTGAACCCTTTTTGATTGGGGTTGTTGCTGGGTTTGGGTTTTGTTGTTGTTGTTTCACTCTGCGGTTTGGGTTTTTTTTGTGTGAAGACTGGATCAGAGGCAAGAGAACAACAAACAAGTCAACACTAGCACATCTCAGACAATTAAACAAGGAGAAAACACCCCCACAACCAGACAAAAGCAAAACGAACACATGCACAGGAGAAGAAGACAGTGCAACGGCAGACTTTACAGACAACTGAGCCGCGAGCAACAGTAGCAACCTCACTTGGACAGAGGAACAAGAGACCACAAAGTCAGACGTCGTTGGTAAGGCTCGCACCTCGAGCAGAATCGGGATGGGACAGGGACAAGGGTGCTGATGCCAAGCAGAGAGAGAGCAGGTGCTGCTCGGGGCCATACAGCGCTGGCACCGGGGATCCGCAAGGCTCCAAACACAGCTGCCTCTTTTACCTTCTGCTTCTCTCCGGGGGCTTGTCATCTCGCTCCCCGAAGAGGAGACGCGGCAGACACTTGGCGGTTGGGAGGAACCGTCGCCCCGTGCACATCGCCGCGGGTTAAATGGCGCGTGGGACCTGGGCTGCTCCCGTGCAGGGGGTTCTCACCGCTGCGGCCGTGCCTGGTGTGAGGGTCAGGCAGCCCCAGCAACGTGCTGATCTCTGTTTCGTAGGGTCAAATCTACCGTAGCTTCCTAAACTCAGAGGAAAAAGGCACCTCACACCAGGAATCGGACCTTGTGTCTCGATTAAGCTGGCTGTTTGAAATCACCCCTGCACAGAAGATGCACCAGATCTCTTGGGTCAGGAATAGGACCTGGCCTTACTGCATGGGAAGGAAATTTGCCCCTTATTTATTAAGGGTGAGAATCAAAGGCCTAGTCAGCTCCCCAGGATTAATCCCATTGGTTTAGTGTGTGCTGGGACAAACCTTGCTCTGTAAGGGTATTTCTGGTTTCCTTGGATTTAAGACCAGTGAATTACTCCCAGTAAATTTAATGGCACTAAGAGTATTTTTTGGTCTATTTTTTGACTAAGTGTAAACAAGAGATAGGCTCACAAGGTAATAGCTGCAGACACAGCAGATTAAAAAAAGGTCTGTTCTTAATCAATGGGAATATGTACCATGTAGGATTTTTTTTTTCCCCTCTTTCAGAGCCTCATATTCTTCTGAAATTCTGGTGTGGATCAGACTTAATCAGTGTGAGCCATCACTTCACTCTTTC